CAAATCGCCAACCGGCTCATTGGGAGGATTGGGCGCACTTGGACTCGCTCTTGGCTGCCCGCCCCCATTCCTGAGCGACGGGCGAGCGCGCAGCGCGGCCTTGGGCCAGGAGCATCCCTCCCGGAGGGCCAGGTCCCAGGGCCCCAGCCCCGGCTAAGACACGAGCCGCTCCCAAGCCCTTCAGTTCGCTTCCGCTCCCCGGTCCATCAGGCCCGGAGCTGGAGGCGGGTAGGCAAAAGTGCAGAGGTCCCCAAAGCCACCAGCTCGGGGACTGCGAGCTGCCACCGGTGCGGATCCGAGACGGAGACGCGGGGCCAGGTGTGGACGTAGAGAGAGCCCGCAGGCCGCAGGGAAGTCGCCGAGAAGCCCGGGATCCAGGGAAGCGCCGCGTGTGAGCCTGGCGCCCCGGAGCGCGCCGCCCGCACAGGGCGACCGCCAGGAATTCGGAGTCTCCTCTGAGTGGCCAGACACCCGCGGCGACTTGCAACCGCCCCCGCGCCAAGCCACGCCCCCAGAGCGGGTGCGGATGGGGGTGAGGGTGCGGAGCTGCTGACACCCGATCTCGCCCGGACGCCCTGGGTCTGGGGGGCGGCAGCGCAGGAGGCTCAATGTTCCCTCCCGCCTGCCCTCCGCGCCAACGGCCCCCGCTCCGCTAACCACAAGGGCACGGCCTCCGCTGCTCTCTCTGGCAGGTGCGAAGGTCTGCTGGCAGGAGGGCAGAGCCCAGCGCTTCAGAATGGAGGGTCCCCTGCCGCCCTTCCTTCAGCGCGTCTCTAGGCAAAGCCAACTTCCAGACTCAAAGCAACCCCCCGTCCCCCCTCCAGGAAGGCCCGATGCATAGAGGCAGGTAGTTTCTCTCAGGCTTCTCATTACCGCCTAATCCGGGGGACAGCCGTTAAAATAGGAGCGCCCCCTACGCACCCTGCACACTAAGTTTCTCTCCACTTATAGCGGCCAAGGAGTAGGGGGGTGGGAACTGCATTGCCAGGCACCCGACTGAAGCCCCCCTTTCCCGCCCAGCGGTCGCGGACAAAGCCGCTGCGGAGCTGGGGACGCGCGAAGGCGCAGTGGGGTGGGCGTGTTGCGCCCGCGCCACCGCGATCGAGGTCCCGGGGTCAGCAGAGCAGGCGCCGCCGCCGCAGTCCTGAGCCCTGCTGCAGGTGGCTGGAGGAGCCGCGGTGACAGCCACCTCCGCTACCACAACTGTGGCTGGAGCCGGCGGAGCCCGGGCCTTCAATGCAGTCAGCTGATGGCCAATGACGTCAGGCCCTGGGCGCTTTCACTGCTCCCTGTGGCGTCCCCCGGAAAGCCCAAATGACCACCTGGCCGTGACCCCTCTGCTCCTTATGATCCAGCGATTTCCTCTCCTCTTTACTAGCCAGGGGAAAGGTGAGGCTTTCTGCTCCCAAAAGATTTACAGCCTGGGAACCCACAGGGCAGTTCTTCAGGGACTATAGGGTCTCCGTGAGGCAGAATGACTAGAAGATTGAGCCTCGGTTTGATCTTCTCTTGAGAGAAAAACTTCTCTTCCTTTTTCCTTGACCTGACCTGAAGGATAATAATAGTTCTAGCTGCCCAGTAGAATA